CTAAATGCATAAAGGTATGCCATATCAGACAGTTTTAGAAAAACACCCTTGGCAGTAAAATATATCTTCAAATGTATTTTAAAAAAAAAGATTCTCTATAGAGTCGATATATCAGCTAGGCCTTGTTGAATTGCAAGTGACAGAAAGCCCAACAGAAACTTGCTAAAGGAAAAAAAAATTATGGTTCCAAATAAGAGAAGTGTCAAGGGATGAGTTTTGTTTAAAGCAACACTAGAATCAAGATTCAAGTAATATTTTAAAAACAAAATTTTTAAGAATAGTTTTAGGTTTACCAAGGAGTTGCAAAGGTAGTATAGAAAGTCCTCATATAGCCACATCCAGTTTCCCTTATTATCGACATCTTACATTAATATGGCAGATTTTTATCACATTATTGAAGCAATATTGATACATTATTATTAGTTAAAGTCCAAACTTTATTCAGATGTTCTTAGTTTTTACCTAATGTCCATATGTTGTTCTAGGATCCCACATTACCTTTAATCATAGGCCGGCCTCCTTGGGAGCTCCTTGGCTCACACTTTCTCTGCTTTTCGTGATGCTGACTGTTCTGAGCGATACCAGTAAGGTATTTTGTAGACTGTTCCTCAGTTGAGATTTATTTCATGTTTTTCTCATGATTAGTCTGGGTTTATGGGTTTCTGAGGTAGTGTTTGTCAGGTTTCTCCACTGTAAATTAATTTTTTCCCCCACTTTCCATATTCTGCTCTTTAGAAGAAAGTCATCATCATGTGTGGTGCACCCTTAAGGAGTGGTGAGTTATGCTCCATTCCTTGAATGTAGTGTATCTACATCCATTATTTGGAATTCTTCTTCACAGGAGATGTGTCCATTCTCTTCTATTTATTTATTTATTTATGAAATCATTTCTTTATATCAGTATGAAATTATAGCTGTTTATTTTATACTTTGGGTTATTTTCCAATACTACTTTATTAATTTTGTTGCTCAAATTGTTCTAGCTTTGTACATTTTGGGGAGCTCTTTCACTTAGCTACTGTGTCCCTTTGCTATACCCCATTTTTGTGGGATTTTTAGTTGGGGGCACTTTTTTACTTTCTGGCACTATAAGATGTTCCAGTCTTGTCTTGTACATTCCCAGAGCAGCCCTATATCCAGCCTTTTCTCCATTGGCTCTTCTTTTTATCGGAAAATGGTATTAATAAACCAAGATCTGGGTGGTAGGTCTGATCATTGCTTATGGGGGTGTTTTTGCTTCTAGACCCTATCAGCTGACAGAGCAAGGAAATATATACGTATATACTAGAGGTTCAAGTGACTTTATCTGGACTCAGGTTTTCTGTTTCTTTCACCTTGGTCCTCCATTTTTACTCAAGTCTTAGATAGAAATTTTCTTCATGTTTGCAAAGTGACTAGCAGCTCTAGAACTTAAATCCCAAGGGATGAAATAAATCCTTTTGCCAGAATCTCCAATTTCCCACCATGTCTCATTGGCACTTCTTAGGTCACATGCCAACTTGGTAGCGATCACTGTAGCCAAGAGAAATGAAATCTTATTATGCTAAGCATGGGTCATGTGATCATCACTAAAGTCAGAGGATTGATCCTATTTGAACTACATGGGCTAAGAACACAAGAGATATGAATTTGTGAACAGTTGTTAGTGAAAAAAAGGGAAAATATAGCTGTATGGCTGACCACAGTCAATTACCACTACTTCTATGAATTCTGAAATTCTAAAACTGGCTACACTTACTGTGAGCTTTTGAAAGAAAATAAGATAGTTACTTTCATAAAAAGATGCATTAGTGTATGGCTTGGGCTCTATTGGTAGCAAATGAACACTCAACTTCTGAAAATTGAATAGTAATTTACTATACCTTTACATATGAATATTTTCTCCTTTGAAACTATAAATGTGAAGAGCAAATCCATTGTCAGATTCTTTTCTGGTTTTGCTTTTAAAAATAATTTCACTTTTACAATAATAGAGCATTTAGTCTGGGAGGAAATAAAAACTGTTGACTTTTGTGGTTATTGCTTCATTTTGACTGTCTCCATTGGTTTTCTTTATTTACCTCTTTCAGGAGCATATTCAAAGGGAAACTAGATGGTTTGCTGTTCATTTATCAAAATGTTAAGGCAATTTTCTTTTTTTTCTACACTTAAAATATTGTACAATATTTTTAAAAGTAAGGACTATAGAATGGAAGGACTATAGGATAGCATTATAACTGAAACCACTACTGTGATCTGAAGTTTTTGCTTTTTCTTAGTAAGGCTTTCACACTTCTTTTAAATTAAACCAGCAATTAATGGAACAAGAATTCCAATGTAAAAGGATTATTTTCAAATTCATCCATTGCAAAGACATACTGGTTTTAAGATATTAGCAATCACTACAGGAGGTTGCATCCCAATTTTTATCTGAAGGAAATTATTGGTTCTGTTTGTATTTGTTAAGATTACTTTTGCTTTTATTTAATTGCTTTTAAAAAATATTACTCATCCATTGTAGAAATCTAAAGGTTTACAAAGTAAGATATTAAAGACACTACTAATTTGAATTTTTAAATGCACTGCTGCTCTGGTCCTGTGAAATGTGTTTAAATTGTAGGGAAGCCAAAAACATCTTGGGTGACATCTAAATTTGAACGTCATGAAATGGATGTAATCAGATTGGTAGTTCTGAGTTAAAACTTTGGTTATTTGTAACACTTAGAAAATGAGACTTCCAGAATTAAAAAAACATTTTTTTGAGGAGTGGAGTAATGATACCTCTTTAAGTTATGACTTTTTTTTTTTAGCTCTTCTGACAAGAATCTTTTCCACTTCTTCTCTGCCTTAAATGGTGGATACTGGTCATAATTTATTTGTTTTCTTATGACTCTTAATATCTCCTTTTTTGAATTCTGGACATTTCTAAAAATATTTAAGTTTTGTCTTAAAAATTTTTCTGTATATGTAAGTTCCTTATAAATATAATATCCAAGTTGAGACTGGCATATTCTCTCAATAATTTAAGTAAATTTTATTGGCATTTATTGAAAATATTTAATATACTGGACATTTTTTTGGGGGTGGGGCAAATTTATTTGCATTTAATAGTGATTTTTAAGCCCTATATCCAATGAAACCATTTTAAAAAGCTCTATGAGGAATGGAAATTTAGATGTCTATTACACTTTTCTTTAAAGAAAAAAGCTCAAATTTCTGAATGAGCAAGATTCACTTTTGTAGGTAGAGGCTTTGCTTCTTCATGATCTTCAGTGCTTCTTACATATTTTATTTCATTTAATCTATATTTTAGTAAGGTGGATATTAAAGTCTCTGTTTTAGAGAAGAGGAAACTAAGGCTGTCAGAGCTTAAGTTACTTAAGGTCATACAGAAGTGCCAGGATTCAAACCTATCTGTAGAACATGACATACTACCTCTAAAAATTAAGAGAAGAGCTGTTAAAACAGACAAAAAAAATCAAAGTATACGTTAATTGTTCAGAGACACCCTCCTCTATGGTTCTCTCACGTTTCTACATGTCTTGCTGAGTGTGCAAGGCCCTGACACTCCTCACCCAGGTCATATCTCAGGCTTGTGCTTGCAGGAAACAACCTTTAGGGATGAGGAAATTCCTCCCTTTGGAAGGAAGATCAGGCTTTTGAGAAAAGCAGTGGATACCCCAATTTCAGAGTTCCCTGAATTTTCAGCCCCTTATAATTCTTCCTTGCATCTTAATGAGCACTCGGGATATGTTTGATATGAGAAGTCAATGACAAGGAGTAAGTTATTAAAAGAATAAATACTACTAGGGATGAATTCTCTAACTATTACATCTAATTGTGATGTTTGAGTATGCTAAAAAAAAATCCCAAAACCAAACCAAACAATTAAGTACAAATAACAGCTATTTCTTAGTGTCTACCATGTGGCTGGTGAGTTCTCAACTCTTTATGTTGTTTTACCTCTTGCAACAATACTTTGAGGTAGGTAATAATATCCCCATTTTAAAAATGAGGAAACTGGGGCCTTAAGTGGAGGCATTACATTAAATGGTTTGCCCAAGGTTTCATAGCTAGTAATGGTGGAGCCAGGCTCTGAATGCAGCCTCTCTGGTTCCAACATTGAAGCTCTTAATCAGCTCAGTAGAAGTTGCCATTATGTTTCTTTTGGTAATAAATGGGAATTTTTATAATGAGGTGCTGTTTGGCATCCAATTTTCATTAGAATGTAGGATGAAAAAGAATCCGTAAATAAAAGGGCCCTGTAGATGGTTCTGATACATACACAATATAAACCCGAGGAAGATTCTGTCATAGCAAAAGGACTGCACATGATTGGGCAAATATCATTTATTATACATTATGTTAGGACAATTTGTACCTCAAAATTCTTATGGAAATGGCTTTACTTTGGTAAGAATCAACGTTACAACTACAATTCCAAGTCCCAGAGTATAAAACCAAAGAGAAAACAGATGTCCAGATAAATACTTTGAATGAGTATGAGAATGGAATTGACTAGGGTGACCATCCTAGTTCTTTATTGGTAGTTCCCCTGGGCCAATCTCTCAGTTATGATTTCTAGGACTTTTTTTTTCTCCAGGTACTGAGGATCTTCCTCTTTTCCATTAGTTTTCCCTGGGGACAACTAGGACTCTATACACATACCTAAAAATCTGGGGACTGATGATTGGCATGTAAGAACCAACAGAAAGAAAATTTAGAGAAGAAAAAGTGAAAAACAAATGCTAGGGTCAAAACTGAAGAAAACCAAGCCATGTCGGTAAGAAAATGTGTGCAAACCAAGTCCGTTGCTTCATTTTATCTCGTCCAGTTCAGGAACGCATCCCGAGGGCTCAGGGTAACTAGGCAACGAGGTTGCCCCAGTAACGTAGGAAGCAAGGAGGACTTCCCCATTTAGGGCTCGGGGCAGCCCTTCCGGGCCCGGAGCCCGCGCGGTGGGAGGGGTGAAGGATGCCAGGCTCTCGCGAGAGCTGCGTGTGTGTTCGTACTGAAGCGTCTTCGCGGTTGCCTTGAGGGACACGGTGCGGTAGCCAGGGGCAGGCGCCCGGAGCGCTTCAGATGGCTTCTCAGAAAGGGATGCCCTCCTCGGCCCTGCGGGTTCTGGAAGAAGTGTTGGGCATGGGCTCGACGGCTGCCGGGGACACCGCGGAGGCGGTGGCCGCTGAGGGCGCTTACTACCTGGAGCGTATCCTTCCCGAGTAGGCGCCGCACTCAGACGCTGGCCGCAGTAACGGGTGTTGGGGGCGAGGGCGCGGGCTTCCCGCTCTGGGTGCCCTGTGAAGCTTGCGGACACCCAGCCGGTAGAGACGCCTGTTAGACCTCTAGGTGGTTTCAACGCCACCGCGACCCCCTGATACCTACCCACTGTAATTTTTCGCCTTGTAGTAGTTGTAGGCTGATGTGTTCCTGTTGGAAAAAGTTAGTAGTCACCACTCAGTAAACTTTGCATTTTATTTTAAAGTAGCACAACAAATTAATCCAATCCTCCTTTACCTCAGGGGTTTTCTTAAGCCCCCAAACCTTCAGAATGCCGTGAAAATAAATCCGTAGGGCAACATCAGGAGGTTAAGGAAAAGACCGCTACCTCTAGGCTTTAAGGAGAGGAAGGAGGAAGCTCAGAATATCCAGCTGGATCCTGTAGATGGTCCAATTGTCTAATGCTTAAGTGATTTGTTTTGGTAGCATCTACTTACTGGGTAGTTTCAATCTGGGCTACTTAATGATAAAAATACCACCCCCCCGCCCCCCCTCCGCCTTTAGCAACTAAATGGTAACCTCGTGACCTGACGAGGCTCAGAGATGTTAGGAAGAAACAAGATCAGACAGTGATGAGCGATTATCATTGGAAATAACCAGAAAAATTGAATAGCTATATGTGGATAATTAGGTTCACTATTTCTTGTGTAAAGCTTTTGAGCTCCCCTTCTCTAAATTAATGGTACTGAGGAGAGGGGGAGGGTTCATGAGAAAAAGATAACTACTCCATTCTTCAGGCAGATAGGAGAGAGATGGGTAATCAGTTTTATTAAAGGTATCAAGGAAACTGCAAAATCTACCTTATTTTTTTGTCCAAATATAATCCCCCCGGATTTAATTCAAGATTCCAGAGATCCAGCAATGATTCATTTTGTAGGCTTTTAAACTGATTAACCTGTCCTGACTCAGGCCCAGTATACATCCCTGCTACAGGGAGCTTTGAAGAACTTGGTTAAAAAGCTCAAAGAAAATATATAGTATTTCATTCAGTGCAAACATGATTTTTACAGGAATATGTTCGAATAGTTTGAAATAAATTTGAATGAAATATGTGGGTGCTCTAGTGTCTTAAGTGAGGTTTTATACTCTGTTTTCCTAGCTCTTAACAAGCTGTCTTTTCCAGTAATCTTCCTTTTTAAATTCAAAAACAATTCAACGACTCTTTCAGCGCTAATCTACATCAAAGTATAAAGTTATCCAATGCCCATACTAGTGATAACCAGGCATCTTATATCTGTCAGCATTAAAATGATTTCTATCACAATAGTTTATAATACTGCTTTTAATTTTTTTTTAACATCTTTTTTGGGGTATAATTGCTTTACAACGGTGAGTTAATTTCTGCTCTATAACAAAGTGAATAAAAATATGGAATGCTTCACGAATTTGCATGTCATCCTTGTGCAGGGGCCATGCTAATCTCTGTATCGTTCCAATTTTAGTATATGTGCTGCCGAAGCGAGCACACTGCTTTTAATTTTTAAACTTGTGTAGGGCGAGATGCAAACTTAGACGACATAGTTCTTATCTTACTTAGCTATCTCCAGAACTTTAAGAAATCTAATCATGGAATGTATGAATCCTCTAGTGAACACTTTTTTAGAAAGATATTTGCAGCTTTGTAAAATATAAGGCTAGATTTTAACAAAGTGATCTGTAAACGGGCAAGTAGGTATCTCTAGTAATTGTAAAGAAGATTGGTCGTCTTTCGTGAATGAATGCTCTATTAAAAATCAATACAACTTGAGAGAGGTTTTCACTCATAGTAGTGATCAGGGGTTGCCTTTTAATGTGTGGCTGCAGACATTTAAGAGTGCCTATTCCAGCTGAGAGATGCAGGCTGGAATGAATTGTATTAAGAAAGCTAATGCTTAATTGATTTTTTTGCTACTTGTCTAAAGAAAGACCTTATTGAAGGAAGAGTAATGAAATGCATGGACTCCAGGGAAGTAGAGCCCCCAAAGTAGTATTGTTTTTGTTACCTACCTCTTTTTGTGCTGATTCTCTGATCCCCTAACTGGCTTTTGATTATTATTTTAACTTTCTAGACATTTTAACGCTAAGAATTTGACTGAGAATTTGCTGACCCCTGAAAAGGTCTCCTTTGGCCCCAACAGCAGTTTGTGAGGGTTGACTGAATTTAAGCCTGTCCTTTGAGGCTAACCAACTCTGGATGCAGTCCCAAAGTCAACTGTTTCAAAAATGCAAATTAAGGATTCCAGACTCTGAAATATGGTGATCACACTAAACCAATACCCCATCTAAGATGCATGCTTTTCTTCTTAAGTAATATCCTTAGCCAGTATCTCACTGCAGTGGTAATGTTTACTGATAACTTTGTTTAATTAAAACAGAACTTTTGTTATTTTTAAAAGTTATTTTGTTATTTACTGCTTTTAACAGTTATTTTTCCTCTAAGATGTTACTTCTCTGGAATATTTATAGTATTAAGTAAGAAAATATTAGTAAAATCCTTAATAATCATTATGTTCTCAAGTAGTGTATTTCTTATTATCATTGGAAAACTGGATTTGCTCATGGGTGCTTAATTGCATCCTACATATATTCAAATAAAAAGGATAGACAGTTTGAATGTAGAATGTAGAGGCATGTTACTAAACCTGGAGTGCTGAATTCTACATGCACAAAAGTCATAGATTATTTGGAGAGAAAAAAATTATATTTTGTTCTGTGTCTTCTAGACTAGGCAGATGTTACTGTGTATATGAATCCAAGATATGGATCTTGAAATGAAGATTCTAATTCAGTAAGTGCGGGTTTCAGGGGTTGAGATCCTGCATCATTAACAGGCTCCCAGGTGCTGCTGGTGTGGCTGATCTAAGGACTATAATTGGAGTAGCAAGGCTGTAGACAAATATCTTAACCTCTAGCCTTTATGTTTTCAGATAGAGGTATAATATATAGACCCCATATCTTTGGGTCTCCTGGTTTAGAAGTTGGAAAAACTTACACCACCATCCACTATGAGAACCTTATATGTTGAAAGAAAATTATTTTCCAGGTTCTGAGGCAGAAGATGGGCAACAGCTGTCTTAGGCACGAGTGGCCAATAAATTTCCACACTTGCCAATTCTATTGAATTGGTAGTGGTTCCGTGGCATGTGGTATTAAGACTTGGTAGGAAAGACTGAAGGAAGCAAACAGCAATGGGAATTGTGACAGCAAGTGTGCCAGTTATTTGCCACCTTTGGTCTATTTTCAGTTAACTTTATTTAAACTGGCTTTCCTAAGAAAGGGAACATGACTATAATGTTTGGTATTTACAATACATTTGTTTCAATTTAGTGAGTAAAATGTTGATCATGGAGGATACAGGCTAGACTTTAGATTGCCTTTGTATACATTGATTCTGCAGTGATATCAAAGATTACAAAGCAATTTCTGTCTATATCAACTTTGGGAAATCATGTAAAATATAATTAGCTTTATGTTTCACTCCAGTTCTTTATAAAGCTGGTGCTACTGGCAGTGATCACTACCTACAGTTGCAGTAGTGGAGGAGACCAGTGTGTGAGGAACTTTGTATGCTGCTCTCATCTGAAAATTGTTCATTTCTTTCTGGCTGTGGTCCATTTGCACAACCTTGTTTGTGACCCCATCATACCAACTGTCACATCAAACTCTGCTCCATTAGGCCAGCTGAAATGCTTCTCTGAAGCTTCTTGCAGTTGTATCTTCTGTAGTACTTGGTGGATTTAGGGCTTCATGGCAGTTTCAGTGTGGGTGTATATTGGCCTGTTTTCTGACAAGATCTGCAAGGTCAGGATCTGGTGCAGATTCTGTTCGTGTAGAAACTACTAGTTCACTGAAGTACCAGGGAACTAATTCATAGTATGCAAACTCACAAGTACTACTAAATTCCTTCCAGAGCAAGTGGAGATATGGAGAATGACCCTTAGTCTGAGACCAGGCCATGACTATAGGATATAGTACCTGGCTTGGAAGGGGGTGGTGCTGTGGACTGTGGGTGCAGGCCAGGGAGGAAAGAGGGCCACAGATAGTACCCTGGGCAAGATCAGCCTAGAAAACCAGGCACAAAATTAAGTGTCAAGTCAAGCTCAAGCTCTAGAAATGCAGGACCAGATCTGAGTGGAATAGAGTAGAAAAAAATGAATTTTGGAACTGGAGTTCAATGATGTTTTTTGAAGGAAAACTAGGCAAGTAATGGGAAGGGAGTTTTGTAGGGGCTCAGAGTCAGCTTGGCAAGAAGAAACTGATATTAAGCCAGCATACCAGTTTATTATTCTGCAGTGGAAAAATAACTTTGTATGAAAATTGTGACCAGCTTAATTGTATGGACATTTCCTGGAGAATAGGATCACCTAAGAGATTAGATTACAGATGAGAAAGTTGCCCAGTAAAAGTAGAATCAAAATTAAAGGTTTTATTTTTCAGGCAATTCTTGACAAACTGTGCATTTCTACCCTACCAATATTGCTTCTAAAGCAGTGCTTTCCAACCTTTTTCACACACGATGCTCCATCAGATCCTGCTTCACTCTCTGTTTCTGGCTGTCCCAAGGGCCAAGGGGATCAATATCTGTACAGTCCAAAGTTTTCTCTTTATGAAAACCTAAGAGCGTGATTTCTCTCAGGCGTCAGAATCAGAGATTGCTGTACATCTGCTGAGAAACTCATCTGTTTTTATTGGATGGATACTGAATTGGTATCTGATTACATTTCCCTTTTTACCCTGACTGCTGGAGCTTAGAGTCAAACCTGTGGCATATAACAAAGTTCATGAGACCTTATGGCCTGTACTGTACCTTACTTCTGCTGTTTCCCTTTCTCTGCTAATTTCCATATTCATTTATTTTTATCTCCCTGTAGCTGTATGCATGTCTGTAAACTGCCACAGAATTGTTTTGGGATTTGTTTGTGCATTTGTCCATGTGTTGCGAGCCGGCTAGCCAGCTAGACAGATACATGCGAAAGTACATTTCCTTCTTTAGTAATGCTGCAACATCACATTTCAGCTAAGTTGCTTCTGAGAAGGAAGATTTTCTGTTCACATCATATTGTGGGTACTAACAGTATCAATTAAGGAGGATCCTGGTTCCTGTTTTGGGTATTTGTACTCTTCCTGATCTTTTGTTTGGTTAATCTCTTGCCCTTGGTTTATTGAATCTTTGGGTCGATAGCCCTGTAGCTCTTTTATATTTCTCCTTCCTTTAGGGTCTTCAGACTGAGCTGTTTAAAGGATTTGATTTATCTGTTTGTAATATGACACTTGAGAGTTTGGAAAACAAATAGGTGAGAATTCATTACTGAGGATATTGGTAAAAATTGCACATTGCTATTGTGTCACTGTAGAAACAGCACAGTGTAGTTGAAAATTCATGGTATTTATATTTAAGAAACTTGTCTTTGTCACTCATATCTTTGATTTTGGCCAAATCTATTCATCTTCCTGACTTAGTTTCCTTTATTTTTTTTCAATTTAGAGATTACTGTATCTGTGCCATTCAATCTCACAGGGTTTTAAGAGTACCTATGGTTATGATCCATGTGACAATACTTTTTAAACTTTATAAAATGGTAGTTATTTTTCTCTTACTCTTTTTTGATTATGGGAAACAATATATTATTAGTGATTATAATCCGTTCCCTAGAATATTTTTTTTTTGGTGGCAGTATACAAGTGTTGTTTTATATTTTCAAAGCTTTGAGGACAAATCACTTTTTACTCTATAGAGCCATGTTCAAGAAGCTTTGCTTTGATGTTTCTTCCTCACAGTGAATAAGCAGTTGGCTTATTTACAATTATAAACTCTATCCAGATCATTTTAGAATGTTAACTTCTTTGTGAAATTTATTATGGTATAAGCAGTGATGAAGGATAGCATTACTTTTCTGGAGACTCACAGGCAAGTGACTGCCTACAAAATCAGCTTCTAATAGTTGTTTCTCAGAAGGGGACATATTTTTCCATAAAAAAGAGGCTGAACTTCCTGTAGCTGAACCTAAGGAAATTTTATATCATTAAGTGAACATGTGTCAGAAAAATATAAATCTAGAAAAGGAGGAAGATTCAGAATGTCTTTTATGTATCCATTCATCTTAACACTAGATCATGGGAGACTTAGGAGACTTCTCCACAGGTACTCATCTCTTTCCAGAGTAGGGAAAATAACAACAAACACTTGTATAGTATTTATTATAAGCCAGGCACCATTCTAAATGATTTACATATGTTAATTTGTGTTAACAAGAGAGGTAGTATAGTATAGTGAAACCTAAGCTTCTGGGGCTGATTCCCAACTCTGTTAGGTCCTGATTGTGTAACTGCATTTGAGTCCTGATCTGTAAAACAGAGATAATAATAGTTCAGCCTCATTGGTAGGATGAGGATGAAATGAGTTAATACATGTAAAACCCTTAGGACAGTGCCTGGCTCCTGTTAAATACTATGTGTGTGTTATCAGTTCTTATTACAAACAACAGAAGTTGTTATACACACTGTCAGGTTACTCTTGCAGGATGGGATGACAGAAATTTCTTATAACCAGCAGCAAAATGAAAACTAGGCTAATCTAATCTTTGATTTTCATAACCATTGCTGTACACTGAAGTGTTTAATTTTATACCTTTTAAACTTGGCCTAATAAAGTCTGTGCATTTGAAAAAAAATGTAAACCTACTGACCAATCAACAAAATAGCATTACTGGAGTGTATTTTGATTTCTTTTAAAATTAAATGTTGTCTTGAAGTTTTCATTTGTAATTAGACTAACTTGTAATTTTTGAAGGTCTTAGAGCAATGCTGTTAGAAGTTTTTATTAGAATCATTTCCACTGATATTTTAATGCTGATATATCTTGATAATTTATGAACTGCTGAGTTATGATTATTAAGTAGTTTATATTTGCTTAAACATTAGGCTGTCTTTTCTGAGAAGATAATTTTAAAATTGAGATATGTAAGAAAGAGAGTGGAGGTGTAAGTATCTTTTATTGATAAAAACATTGAAATCTATATTTTACTTATATTTAAATCTTAGTGTGCTTTGTTTTTTTCATTCACAATACTTTAAACCAAATAAAGAAGTCACACTGCATTGTGAATGACTAAGAAACTCCGGAAAATTCACTGTGGTTTGAGATGTGTTTGAAAATTTACTGTCATAGTTTTCCTGTCCATCATTTTTCTTATCTCTTTCTAATTTATGTTATGATACCATGTACATTTTTGTAAGCCTTCTTAGAATCAAATTGGAAATCATTAGATAGTAAATAGATTAAAAATATAGTTTTTCATGAGTTTGGGTTGTTTGAATAATAATTTAAAATAACAATTAAGATATTTTGTCTTAAAACATCTATAAATGTAGGCTGTATGAGGAAGAGAAATTTTAAAAAATAGCTTAATTTACATGTATTTACTAACTTGGTGAGATACTTGGATATAATACTGTATTTTAAGGTTATCTCAATTTTTAAATATAATAATTTTATTCCATTATTTTGAGATTCAAACTTAACAGTACATTTAGAGGTCACTATAACTGAAGCATCTGAAGATGATTATGAATATGAAGAGGTAATTTGTTCATTTTACCTATTCTATAAATTCATTACAGTTATTCCTGTGAAATATTCATTTTATTTTTTCTTAAAAATTTTTTTTCTTAAGTGATGCTACTTTTTCAACTGAATTTAGCTAATCAGCTGGTTAAGAGTGAGGTTTGAAAATTCTATTTAAAAATTTAGATTGGTTAACACATCTGGCTCTTTTGATTTTCTTGTTAATTGTCCTTCAGAGTCAGCTTCTCATCACCTGCCTTGTGGATCCACACTATAGTCTGTCGTCTCTGTCCAGCAGGTGTTCCCAATCATCCAGTCTAGGTTTCCCAGATTCCTACTACCTAGCTGGAGCTCAGATCCTATGGTTCCCCTCAACTTAGCAATACTTTAGTCTAATATAGTTACTGTCTCAAACCTGTCCTTTAATTCATTGTTCCAAGGGAACCTATCATTACATCTGAGACTTGGAAGGCAGAGTCACTCCAAGATGACAGAAGCTATGAATGAAACTGTGGAAGCAAGCCTGGCATTTGTGGCCTGGGCAAACAGGAAACAGGACAAACACAGAAGATAGGCTTTGTATTACTACTGGTAAAATGGAGATAATATTAATACATACCACATGAAATGACTTAATAAATGTAACAGGCTTAAAGCTGTGATCAGCACATAAGAAGCATGCAATAAGTGTTCACTCTCATTAATGTCATAACTAGAGTCAGTTGCATTCTTCCGAGAGCTTAACATTCAGGCAGTGAGTTTTGTTTTGCTTTTTAATATTAGACATAATTTATTAGATATTTGCAGTTGCTAGTAGTTATGAAAAGTAATGGTGGAGAAAATCTGGGATGCGGAGAGAATGGTGGCATTTAGATGGCCTAACATTCTTTTTTTTCAGCAGAGTTGTTAGACTACATTTGTCACTATAGGTAAAAGCAGTTGCCCGTAAGCTAACCTCAAGTTCATCAGTAGTAACACTGAGTGATGTTTATAAGGAAGTCAGAGGGCTGCCTACTTGTTACTTTATTTTTCATGGATCTTCAGAATGACATCGTGTCTTACATAAAGTGTATTTCTTTGATCCTTTGTTTTGTGAGGCAAATTTATTTCTAAAATGAAATAAGGTATTTTTATATTCCTGCTAACTCTTCCTATCATTCTCTTTCTCTGTTATTTAGATACCAGATGACAATTATAGCATTCCAGAGGGTGAAGAAGACCTGGCAAAAGCAGTTCAGATAGTCCAAGAACAGGCTACAGATACTCAAATTTTGGTGAGAATTTTGAACACAACCATAGCCTATAGTTTAACAGTGATACTTTCTACACGAAGTTTTGAAAGTCATTTAAACTATAAATACTTCACTTACTAGATGCAACTCTATCACCTGACATCTTTTTCACTTCTATTAGTTTATCATCTAACCTTCACTTTTAGTAAGTAGTCATATTTACTTTGCCTTGGATCATCATTTTCCACATGGTGTTCACTTTTGCATGACTTTGCAACAAATGACACTTTCTCTCAGAACTCTTTTTAATCTCAATAGAGTTTAAACAAGGATTTTCAGCACTTGTACAGAACTTGGTATTGTATACATATTCTACAGTCTGTTTTGTAAGCATCTGTATTTTTTGTTTTTCATGGAAGTATTTAGATCACAGGAAATGCCTAATATATTATGCTTTTTTTCTTGTGAGGCTGATGAACTAATTTCACTAGAAAATATGGTGGGGATGCTTTCTGATTATAATACCACCAATTAACAGTACATGGAATGATGGCATTCCTGTAAAATTGCAAGCTCAATTAAAAATTGACAATAATGATGATAGCAAAAATATTTTTAAAGTGCTACCAATACTAATTAACACTGAAGTCATACCAATACTAATTAATAAGGCTGCTTTTCTTCAAAAATGAAACCTTTACTGTGAAATATGAAGGAAATTATTATACCCTTATTTAGGTGCAGATTTGGCTTCCTCAGTGCAAAATAGTATGTGATAGACTTCACTCCATATTCTGCCCTTTGTCAATCTTTCCATATTTTGCAGATTTCCTTGGTTCAGAAATCTAGTTACTCCTTTCCAAAATATCTGTCCATTCAAAATTGAAAAATGCTGAAGAGGAGGATTTTTTGAATCCAGAATTGATTATATTCTAAGTGGAGGGCTTTAGCTCATAGTAAACTCTATTCTCTAATATATCCTATGGATATAGTTCCTTCTAGGTAGACGTAAAGTGAAGTCTACTATGCAGACTTTATTAGTCTGTTGGATATCTCAATGCAGTAATTTATAAGAAAGTTTTAAAACATAGCATTTTGAACGATGAGCAGTGAATAAACATATCAGTTGCACTCTATGTATTACTTATCATCTTCCTTCTTGCTTTACATCATTAAGTAAAGAAGGATTAAAAAAATACTTTATGTACCACTCATTTATATTGGTACTTGGTAACATAGATATGCCTAACACAGTGCTTGGCACATAGTAGGCACTAAATGAATAGCAGTTAAATAAATGAATAGATAAATGAATCATTGAATGAAAAAATTATGACCAAACTGTAATTGCATCTTTGTATGTGGTATCATGCTAGAAGGTGCTTGTAAATCCAAAGATAAATCCAAGAAGGGCAATTGGTGAATAAATTCAACGTAGTAGCTGTCGTATCTTCTGAACTAAATATCAGTAATTCTTCTGTCATCAGTTTCTCAGAAGCTTTCTTTTATCATAAGCTTGCAAGAGGTAACTTTCTAGATTTATGACATATTTATAGCTTGTTGACTCTCATTTAAGGTTTTATCTGTTTTTTGAGTTCTTTGGAGGAACTGTGCTATGCAGAAAACTCACAAAAGTTTCCCTTAAGCTTTTAAAATTAAATATGAATTCATTTTATGATAAGCATTTCAGTTATGTATTTCTAATTTGGTTTTTGTTTCTATAGTATTTTATCTTCAAAAACTAGCTTTGAGTTGTGCCATGGGCTTTCTGTTTTAAGAATATTTATTGCTTATGAAACCCACTTCCTTTTGTTATGATTTTATTACATCTGTTTATGAGCAAGATATATTTTCTTCTATGTTAGAGGATAGTAGTAGTCTCAATTGAACAGGGACTTTTAGAAAATTCATTAAAGACTGCAAGTAAAAAAGGTCATCATTACATTAGGAATGTTGAATATAGTTGAAATTATTGAAAAGTTGAAAGTTGGAAATAATGTAAGTAGTTTTATTGGTTAAAAAATTAACAAGGATTATTTATATAAGAGTTGACATTTAAATGAATTTTTATAATTTTCTTTAAACCTTGATAATATATATGAAAAATCTGAGAATTGATGCATGTTTTATTTCATAAATTTTAAACTTTTTATCCTATAAAAATGTTTCCTTGATAGGTGCAATGTTTCAGAAATCTGAAATAAAATATAGTTTTATCATATTTAAAGTAATTAATGAAAAAAATTAATGTAGGAAATGTTATTAATCTGTGACAAATGTGTGGTTTGGTTGTACTGTCCATTGTTTCTTGAAACTGAAGTCTTTTTTCTAAGTATAAATGTAAGTAGAAATAGGAATACAGGCACACACACACATACACACACATATTCCTTAGAAATACTTGTATGTAATTTTATGAAAGAAAGTCTACTTATATTCAAGCTGGGTTTTCCCCTTTACACTGTGAGCATATTATTGCCATTTTGGGGGGTAATTCTTTAGCTGTTTTGGTTCGTGATTTTTTTGTTTTGCTAATTTTGGAGGTAAAATCTTAAAGGTCTATGTATTGCCATAATAATGTAATATTTATAAACTTATAAGTTTGATCTTTAAAGATAACAGTAGCGGAGTACCTAAATCATAACACTGTTACATTTCCTGACATCTTCTCTCCATCTCCTCCTCTAAGAATATAAGGCATTTCTTTGAAATAGTCATGTGTTTCTGAAGAAGATGAATTGATAACTGAACAAAACTACTATACTGTTTAACGTATTAATCAGTAGTTCTCAAAGAATTTTACTCTAAGATATTTTCCTACATATTTATTAAGAATTACTATCAAATATTTTCATATTAAAGTTATGTTCTTATAAGAAAAACGTAGCTCAGGATTAGTTATTCCTTTCATTTATTTATTTATTTTTAACATCTTTATTGGAGTATAATTGCTTTGCAGTGGTGTGTTAGTTTCTGCTTTATAACAAAGTGAATCAGCTATACATATACATATATCCCCATATCTCCTCCCACTTGTGTCTCCCTCCCATCCTCCCTATCCCACCCCTCTAGGTGGTCACAAAGCACCGAGCTGATCTCCCTGTGCTATGTGGCTGCTTCTCACTAGCTAACTATTTTACATTTGGTACTATATATAAGTCCATGCCACTCTCTCACTTTGTCCCTGCTTACCCTCCCCCCCCCCATGTCCTCAAGTCTATTCTCTACATCTCTGTCTTTATTCCTGTCCTGCCCCTATGTTCTTCAGAACTTTTTTTTTTTTTAGATTGCATATATATTTGTTAGCATATGTTATTTGTTTTTCTCTTTCTGACTTACTTCACCCTGTATGACGGACTCTAGGTCCATCCACCTCACTACAAATAACTCAGTTTCGTTTCTTTTTATGGCTGAGTAATATTCCATTGTATATATGTGCCACATCTTTATCCGTTCATCTGTCAGTGGACACTTAGGTTGCTTCCATGTCCTGGCTATTGCAAATAGAGCTGCAATGAACATTGTGGTACATGACTCTTTTTGAATTATGGTTTTCTCAGGGTATATGCCCAGTAGTGGGATAGCTGGGTCATATGGTAGTTCTATTTTTAGTTTTTTAAGGAACCTTCATACTGTTCTCCATAGTGGCTGTATTAATTTACATTCCCACCAACAGTGCAAGAGGGTTCCCTTTTCTCCACACCCTCTCCAGCATTTATTGTTTCTAGATTTTTTGATGATGGCCATTCTGACTGGTGTGAGGTGATACCTCATTGTACTTTTGATTTGCATTTCTCTAAAGATAAGTGATATTGAGTATTCTTTCATGTGTTTGTTGGCAATCTGTATATCTTCTTTGGAGAAATGTCTATTTAGGCCTTCTGCCCATTTTTGGATTGGGTTGTTTGTTTTTTTGATATTGAGCTGCTTGTAGTATTGGAGATTAATCCTTTGTCAGTTGCTTCATTTGCAAATATTTTCTCCCATTCTGAGGGTTGTCTTTTTGTCTTGTTTATGGTTTCCTTTGCTATGCAAAAGCTTTTAAGTTTCATTAGGTCCCATTAGTTTATTTTTTGTTTTTATTTCCATTTCCCTAGGAAGTGAGTCAAAAAGAATCTTGCTGTCATTTATGTCAGAGTGTTCTGCCTATGTTTTCCTCTAAGAGTTTTATAGTGTCTGGCATTACATTTAGGTCTTTAATCCATTTGGAGTTTATTTTTGTGTATGGTGTTGGGGAGTGTTCTAACGTCATTCTTTTACATGTAGCTGTCCAGTTTTCCCAGCACCACTTATTGAAGAGGCTGTCTTTTCTTCATTGTATATTCTTGCCTCCTTTATCAAAAATAAGGTGACCATGTGTGCATAGGTTTATCTCTGGGCTTTCTATCCTGTTCCATTGATCTATATTTCTGTTTTTGTGCCAGTACCATACTGTCTTGATTAGTGTAGCTTTGTAGTACAGCCTGAATTCAGGGAGCCTGATTCCTCCAACTCCGTTTTTCTCTCTCAAGATTGTTTTGGCTTTTCAGTATCTTTTGTGTTTCCATACAAATTGTGAAATTTTTTGCTCTAGTTCTGTGATAAATGCCATTGATAGTTTGATAGTGATTGCACTGAACCTGTAGATTGCTTTGGGTACTGTAGTCATTTTCACAGTGTTGATTCTTCCAGTCCAAGAACATGGTATATCTCTCCATCTCTTTGTATCATCTTTAATTTCTTTCATCAGTGTTTTATAGTTTTCTGCATACAGGTCTTTTTTCTCCTTAGGTAGGTTTACTCTTAGGTATTTTATTCTTTTTGTTGCAGTGGTAAATGGGAGTGTTTCCTTAATTTCTCTTTCAGATTTTTCATCATTAGTGTATAGGAATGCAAGAGATTACTGTGCATTAATTTTGTATCCTGCAACTTTACCAAATTCATTGATTAGCTCTAGTAGTTTTCTGGTAGAGTCTTCAGGATTCTCTATGTATCGTATCATGTCATCTGCATGTCTCTATATATACTATCATATATAGTATCATGTCTCTATGTATATAGTA